ATAATGAAAGGCATAGCATTTTTATCGTTGATAACAACAACAACAACACAAACGTTAACTTGTTCGTTGCAAGTAAAGTAGGTGGGTACGCAAGAAGCTTTGTACGTGTGTTCACATGTTCACGTAACGAATCAATGATTTGTGTTTTGTTTGTTGCATTTTAAGCATATTACATTATTATGCATAATATTACACACACACACACACACACACACACACACACACACACACACACACACACACACACACATATATATATATATATATATATAATATGCAAAATATATAGCCTTATTACGCAATGATTGGCTAAAACGTTAGAAAAGAATGGTGATGACGATGATGATGACGATGATGATGACGATAATGATAATGATGACTAGATAGAGTAACCCTGCTGGTTATCGATCAATAAAATGACACTACGTACAATTGAAATCATTGTTACTTCTTCTTCGCATCAACTCACATATTAATTATAATAAAAAATTAAAAATAATAATAATAATAACTAATAAATAATAATAATGACTAATGAATAATAATAATAATTATTTACTCAACCTACTCCTCAACTACTTCTTACTCCGTTGTTCGTCAAATTAAAAGTTACTTGGTCCCTTCGTATGATTCGTATGAATTTATTTGCATTTGTCCTCTCATGCGTTGTAAATTATTAAAATCAACCAAATTACTCGTTTGTACGGTGAATAAATATTATTCGATTGTTTATTCAGTTGTTTGTTTAAGTTTTCAATATATTCATTCATTTGTTTGTTCGTTCGTTCGTTCGTTCGTTCGTTCGCTCGCTCGCTCACTCACTCACTCACTCACTTACTCATTCAATTCAAAAAATTCCCCAAAAGATGTACCCCATCACCTTAAATTACTCATTCGTTTATGAAGCGCTTAATTGCACTCCTAGATAAATGCTCCCCTAAAATATTTTAGACAGACGCACCCAGATATAAATGTGAAATAAATGCCATCTTCAACTTCGTCTGTTTGTTTACATAACGTCAAATAGATCAGCCACTCATAAATAATAATTATTCCATACTATCATCATCATCTTCATCATAATCATCCTCATCTTCAACATCGTCATCATCATCATCGTCCTCATCTTTTCTTTATTTCATGGCCATCAAAATCACCAATGCTATCATTATCATGATTATCATGGTCACTATCACCATTATCTTATTATCACCATTATCATCACCATCATCACCACCATCATCATTATCGTTATCCTGACCGTCATCATCATCATCAAATAATTAAATGATTGAAGAGAATGTTCTATTGTTTGTTGAGTCCATCCATTCAAACGTAAAATGGAAACAAACGCGGCAGCATGCGCCAAGTTTGTCTTTTAGTAGGTAAGTGCCGGGAGGAACCATCAAACAAATGAACGAACGAACGAACGAACAAATGAACGAACAAACGAATGAACGGCAAATGATTAATTAAATGGGACTTGTGAAACAGATCGTGCACATTACTAGAGTTCTCCAAAGTTGTGGCGTTTAAAATTGCATGCACTTTTATTATCATTATATTAATTGTCATTATCATAATTTATGCACGCTGACTATCATTATTGATACGCCATAATATTTTATTTATTTATTTATTTATTGACATTCACTTTAGTTATCGTAATTTTTTTTACCACAAAATGTTAGAAATATGAGCAAGAGTTGTTTTCCTTATTCAAACGCTTTTATTGCAACTCACAATTAATCTACGGCTCCTATGGTTCGTATGATGTTTTCTTTCAATGTTTTGCTTACAAGCTATCCTGATTGCATTCACAACACACACACACACAAACACACGGCTGTTTGCCTGTGTTTATTGATACATTCATTTTATTGTAAATTTTTTTAAAATGTTTGATGTCTCGATATTTGACTGGCTCAAAATGATTTCACGTGTCTAACGAGACAAAATAGGACAAGATGAGACAAGATGAGACAAGTTCTACGTTGCAGACGTCCAACAGATTGTTGCAAATGTACGGTTGTGTACCGACGCAGATAAAAAATCTCCTCCAATCATCGCACACGAAGCAACTCATGTGAAGTTTCATTTGTGGGTCGACATCAACAAACAGGCGAACAACGAGTAACTATGTACAGAGTCGATGCTCTTCTTCATGTACGCTGCTCGTACAACTATTAATGCACACTAAACGTTTTTATTGTTCACTGTTTGTATACGGCTTGCACAACTGTGTACACAATCATTTGGCGAGCACTGTACAACACACGTGCCAACACACACATACATGTCACTCTGCTGAGAGGGTCCTGCGTGGAGACAGACGTCAGAAAGGACAAAACAGAAAATTTGAATAAAAAACATCCCATTAGTTGGTCATCATCACATTGTCAAAACCAGCAGCAGATAAACAATATATTATTATTTTTATTGTTATTTATTATTATTATTATATTAAAAAATTACTTTAAAATGTTTAAAATTGTCCTCACTCATTTTTTTGATTATGTCGTTGGTTTTAATGCAATAATGATAATGATGATAATGATGTTGTTGATGATGATGATAAATGATAATAATAATAATAATAAAATTTAGTTTGGATAGCATAATTGTGCGAAAATTATTTTTAATGTTAATTAAATGAGTGAGTGCTTCGCGAGGTAGTACAATATATTTTTACATACGAGGTTACTATAATATATTGTACAAATAATTTTTTACAATAATTTAAAACGTTGGTTCGATCCTTAAGCAACGATCCATTAATATCAAATGGTGGGCATAAGAAGCATGGCTACGATTGCCCAATCTCAGGATATTTAATTTCTGGTGACGAAATTATAAGTGCGTGAGTGAACTAACTAAACATAAAACGAAACTTACGTGACATTGCAGACTTAATTAGCAACAATCAGCAGTAAGAATAAGAAAGAACAGTTTTATAACAGAAAGAACGAGTTTCCATATTGAGACATAAAAATCATTAATTGATTGGCAACAGCAACAACAACAAAAACAACAACAACAGCAGCAGCAGCAGCTTACTGACCGATTTGTGTTGCATCGTCATCTTTGTTCCAGCGGACATCATCTGAAGTTACTTCCGGATTTGCAATAACCGTGCAGTTGACGGATATGGATGAATGCTCCAGCACCGACAGCTCAGAGAATGGTCCCATGTTGATTCTCGGAGCAACTGAGTGGCAATTATTAGTTTCATTATGTACATTCAATCTAACTAATGGATTGTCATTATTTTGCGTGTTGTTCGTTTTTATAAACAGTTTTAAAATTGAAAAATACAAAGAATCTCACATTTTGGAAATGTTTGAATGAATACAAATTATTCACTCACACAGAACGGAAAGTGTTTTCGAAGCAGAAATTGTAGCCTTGTCATCGAAGCACCTGAATTCAGTTTGGTGGTCATCCCACCTCAACGTCCACTGCAGCGTGCTGAACGTCCTACCAAACTTCCCCCCTGACCCCTCCCACTTGTACAAGCTGGCATCCAGCAGGACATCACCTCGCCGCCACAGTAAATTGGGACGGGGGTTGCCTCCCTCCGAGAAGCAGGTCAGGGTGATTTGGTTGCCCTCTCTTAAGATATCCGGTGTGCCGGATTTTATTGTCAACGTTAACGCCAATGTTCCCGGAGGTACTGGACAGATCATCAAAAAAATTTTTAATTTTTATATTAAATTAAAGTTAAAATAGGGAAATTAATGACGCACAAAAATATTTAACATTAGTTTATTTTTGTTAAGTAAAAAATCAAATCTGAATTTGGTTTAAGCAAAAATTTTAAGATGTAATAACACAGTGTGCATAGTATCTCTTTACATACGGAAACATGTGAGACGTTTTAAATTTTAACGTTTAAACAGATTTACGTAAATTATAAATTTTCAACGTCTCAAAAACGTGATAATTATTGAAACAACGACAAAACGAAAGATTCAAGAATTTCCAAACTCGTTGAACTAACTAACCGAGTACGTTTAAATGAAGTTTGAATTTGGTTCCCGCCGGGACTTGACAGCTGTACGTAGCGTCGTCCGTTTCGTTGATGCTCCTAATAGTCAGCTCGCCACCGAGAATGTTCGAATTTCCATCGGTGATAATCTTCGCGCCATATTTAAATTCATCTAATGGTATCACAGGTTTGTCGTTTGAAAACATGATGACATCATTGACAGACCAAAACATAAACAAGCGGTTCGATTGTGGACTCATACACTTGAGTGTAACCGTTGAACATATTTGTCTTGAAATGGTTTGCTCTGCAGAATCCAGTGTAACAACATCTGCTTGCTGACCAACATCGCTCGGCGTGTAATCGCAATTGTAAGACAGCAACGGGGATGCAAACAATAGAAAAAATAACACTTGAAGAAACATGACGCACCAAATTGGTTTGCTTAATTATTAATTACGTGTTAAGATATTTATAACTCATACAACTCAAACAACGTAAACAGCTCAAACGTCAAATGCCGCAATAAAAAACTTTTAAACTCCTTTAAATGCCAAACTCAGCAAAACTCAACACTCTCTTAACTCGTACTCATACACACGAACGACAAATAAGCCTTCCCCGTCTTAGGCATCTTATTTATACTGATCAAAATGCACACACACCCACATACAATTGATCTATTATATATACATCTATATGAGTCTGACTGTATGCAAATATAAGCACTGATGTGCGAATCAGGTCTATATATTGTGTATTGATTGACGTAATGTATACAACCATTTTGAAGTTAACTTTCATATATTATATTATATTATTTTATATATATATTATATTAATATTATATATAAATATATGATATATATCAAGGTAAATTTCGTTCCTTTAAATTGAAACAAATTTTTTTAACTGAAGGCTAAATTTATTTATTTATGCCAAGTGAAAGTTTGAAATTCATATTAATATTAAGTCTAATAACAATAAAATGGACACATTTACGGTGATAAATTGTTATAAAGCGTCATTTTGCCATTGCATTTACTTGATTCCAAATGACGTCACCAGCACACGCAACATTCGACAGCAGCTGACAAACAACCGTACGTTCAAATCATTTCGTCTTTTGTTTAAAAATGTCTGTCACTGTCAATAATTAAATATCTAAAATAATTTTTTTTTTGTTGGTTTTACACGATGCGCTGATGCGAATCAAATGTAATGTCGGCGCTCGTATCGAAACAAAAGATTTTATGTGTTGTTTTGATTATTTCATATGTAAATTATAGTAGGTGAGTGACGTGATGATTGTGATTGTAATGGTGGTTGAGACGAAGGCAGAAGTGATGATGATGATGATGGCAGTGGTGGATGTAGTGATGAGAGTGGAGATGATGATGGTGATGATTGTGATGATAATTAAATAATGATGATTGTAGTAAATGTGATGAGGCTGAAATTGATTGTGATTTTCGTGAAGTGCTTCACGTCGTCATTGATGACCAGCATCTTTTATCCCACTCAATCAATCAATCACTCATTCATTCATACATACATACATTCATTCATTCATTCATTCATTCATTCACTAATTACACACCAAACATAACCTTTTATAATTATCGTTCTGAAGCGCGTTTGAATAAGGACACTGGAAATGGTGATGATAACGACGACGATGATGATGATAAAGATGATGCTGCTGATGATAATGATGATGATAATGATGGTGATGAGGAGGAGGATGGTGATGATGATGATGACGATGATAATGATGATGAGGATGATGATGGAAAAAATGAATGACACAGATCATGATGAGTGAATGTTTTATTTATATATATCATAAAATTGAACTAAAATAAAATGATGAATGAATGAGTGAACGAATGAATGAATGAATGAATGAATAAGTGAGTGAGTGAGTGAGTGAATAAATGAATGAATAAATGATTTAATGAATGATTTAATGAATGATTGAATGATTGAATGAATGAATGAATGAATGAATGAATAAATGAATAATTGAATAAATGAATGAATAAATGAATTTATGTATGAATGAATGAATGTATGTATGAATGAATGAATGGAATGAAT